ATCAAAAGGTGTTTTTTCCTTTAACATTTTTGTGGTAAAATTAAAGTAACAAAGTTATAGCCCTTTAGAAGTTTGAGTACCGCCCTGTCTCAATAATAATATATGTGCTCGTGTTGGCAACAACGGATCTAATACGCCTTATCGGTTAATCGCATCGGAAACAAAAAGCGAAAGAATTTGAAACGCTTATCACGATGTTTTTACTACAATTTTATTCAGTTGTATTCAGTCAATGTGTCAGTCGGTAATGCGTGAGTAAATAGTAGTGTTTGTTGAGTGGCTCAAACGAAATAAAAATGGCACATGTTTACGAAAATGCTGAACTTGTGGACATGATTCTTATTTACGGGGGGGAGTCTTTCAAAATGCTGCCGCGGCATCACGGATTTATGCGGATCGGTTTCCCAATCGAGTGCAACCAACCCCTCGTGCCTTTGTTAATGTAGTACAAAGGGTTCGTGAATCAGGTGACTTAAGAACTCACAGGGGAGGGCATCCCGGTGCTCAAAGACCGCACGATCAAATACAGGTCCGCACTGAAATACTTGTCGGGAGGATACTTTATAAAACAAGGTAACATTTTTTTTGAATTTTTTTTATATATATATACAGGGTGACTTGAAGTTGAGTCATTAATTTTCAGATAATGATTGTAGAAGGAAGATAAACCAAAATATGTGGTGTAAAAAAAATTAAAACAAAATGTTACCTTGTTTTATAAAGTATCCTCCCGACAAGTATTTCAGTGCGGACCTGTATTTGATCGTGCGGTCTTGGAGCACCGGCATGCCCTCCCCTGTGAGGTCTTAAGTCACCTGATTCACGAGCCCTTTGTACTACATTAGCAACGGTTCGAGGGGTTGGTTGCACTCGATTGGGAAACCGATCCGCATAAATCCGTGATGCCGCGGCAGCATTTTGTAAAGATCCCCCCCCCCCCGTAAATAAGAATCGTGTCCACAGTTCAGCATTTTCGTAAACATGTGCCATTTTTATTTCGTTTGAGCCACGCAACAAACACTACTATTTACTCACGCATTACCGACTGACACATTGACTGAATTCAACTGAATAAAATCGTAGTAAAACATCGTGATAAGCGTTTCAAGTTCTTTCGCTTTTTTGTTTCCGATGCGATGAACCGATAAGGCGGATTATATCCATTGTTGCCAAACACGAGCAATATTATTATTGAGACAGCGCGTACTCGAACTTCTAAAGGGCTATAACTTTGTTACTTGAATTTTACCACAAAAATGTTAAAGGAAAAAACATTTCTTTTGATCAGATCTACTCACTGTTAAAATAAATGACTCAACTTCGAGGTCACCCTGTATAATTGTAAGCCCCTGTTAATATATGACATCCTTATTGCCAGCAAAATCTGTAGTTCGAATTTTATCTGAACAATTCAGATGAATTTTACGTTATCAAAAAAGTTGAGATCCCCGTGAATATTGAAACAGTTGAATTAGCTGCTTTATTGGCACTTTGAAGCAGCATCAGATTAACTTTTTGCATCAAAAATTACTATTACAAAACCTTTTGCACTATCCACGAGCTTGTTTTGGTTACATGTGCAGGTCTTTCTATTTTTTATTCTCAGTTGCCGTCATTAATTTGCAAATGTTGAGAATATCACTTTCGCAAATAGTCCCAGTATATATCCTGTAGTAATGCACGTTATTTAAAGTATTTTAGTGTTGTTCACCAAGTTTGTCTTCAATGAAATATTAATCAAGCTGATCGCATACGCAACCACTCTTGCGCTATCATCTACGAGCTTACAGTTAAATCAAAGTTGACGGATGCAGTGCTGCTAGTGTTAGTAGAAAATACCATTACGGTATCCATTTGATATGTGCGCATTACAGATTTATCTAAGAGATTTGGGACTTTAAAATTGGTAGTCGAACTAAATTCGCCTGGGGGGGGTCATGACCTCCATGACCCCTCCCCTGGATCCGCGCCTGGTCATGTCTGGTTGCATAGATACCAGACGAAGTCAGGGAGAAAGAAAGGAAGATAAAAAAAGGAAGGAAGGAGAAAGAGCTAGGAGGAAAAAGTGCGCCAGTTAAAGAGGTGCCTTGGCATTGTTATCTAATATTCAGTAATTTTGAATTAATCCAAAGGTTAACTTAGGAATTTGTGTGTGGGAAAAAATTGTAGTGTTGGTTAGACCTGGAATTACACTATTTGATTTTGTTCACAGCGCTAGCCGCACTTTAGCAACTTTCTATATCCACATTATCATGTCGGTTTCAAACTTATAGCAGATCAAATATATGACGTCAAGACGACATTGAAAAAAAATGCAACTTCAAAATTCAGTTAGAACCGGGCCTCAGCAGTCTGGTGTTCTGTAACAGCTGGTACTGTTTCCCGGTTCTATTTTTTCCATAAAGAGTTGATGCATTTTGTGATCTATCTTGAGGCAGACTTCAATTCCATCCACTTTAATACCTTGTGATATATCTAGTCTAATAGTAGCAATATGATTGCAAAAGTACCCAAACTTCAGGGAATACACGATTAAACCTTTAATGTCCGAGTAGCTATTACGAAATTATACATTTTTTGAACTAACACGATCATTCAATTTGAAAAGGCGGGGTTTATCCAGTGTGCTCATAATGAGGCTCGATCGTAGAGGAAAGATTCTGCTGACCTAGCAGTAGAATCCAACCGAAAGTTCAATCGCCGATATAAAAGAGACTTGACATTGTGTACCGAGGATGTTCTCTTTACTCTCACCGTTAGGGATTGCAATCCCGCAAAAGGAGGTCCCGCATTATCGGGATATTCGACACCAATTTTTGTCCTGCGGGATCCCGCACTTCCAAAACACAAATTCGCTGATCCCGAAAGTTGTTAAATATTCCAGGTGAGAACACGAAAATTCCATAAAGGATAGTTTGCTTCACAATTCTTGGTATTTTGATATGATTTATACAGATTTCTTCAAAGTGATATGAATATCAGCTAATTGTTTAAAATCTGTAATGAACCTAACATAATTTACATAGACGCCGAAATTAAGTCATTTCCCAGCATTTAATCTCATTCAAATTGTAGGTACATTTGCAAAAACTGATACATTGCGCTCAATAGAAGAGGAAAGTTTTATAATCGCGAAAATTATCAGTTTCTCATACTGGTGTAATTACGAAAAATTGAGATATTTGTATTTGTCGTTTGTCTGAATTCCGTCGGTCTATCTATATAATTCTGATTGGATGTTGAGGATACTTAGTCTCAATGTCTCTATCATGTTGAAAAATGTCTAGAAAGATTCTTACGTTTTGAAAGTCGGTCCAGTAACGACGAAAGTGGTGAGCGAAAAGCGAAAAATGGAATGCCCCGAATTTACATTGTTCGGATTTCTAGTCAGCTTAGGGCATATTCAAAAAAAATTTTTGGTGGCACAATAATTTTAAGATCGGGCATGTTCACTAATCAATAAAACAGAAGAACTCTAAGTAGACGTATTGAGTGAGAGGGAAGTTTAAGTCAATCAGCTTAATTTCATTTTTTGGATTATATGATATCTACATGTTCCGCCACTGGCATCTGTGCGGTAATTCTTGGATGCTCTATAGGTCAGAAAGTACTTCTAATTTTGATAAATTGATTGCAACTATAGTAATCAGAATAATATTACTGTTTTTGAGAATCGGTCCGGTTAGGGAAGAGTAAACGTAAAAAAAATAGTAATCATTTACTTGACGAATAAGTTTTCAAAATCATGGATTATTTTAACTGTGTAGTATACCGCATGGGATCGATTAATCTCGCCTATCAATCTCGCAGGATTGACTGAGCTGCGGGAATGCAATCATGAAGATTATGAAGTCCAGTATTTCGTATTAGGTGCTACTTGGGCTTTGTACAGGATAAAGATGTTGGTAAAAAATTCTGAGGACTCAATTCACATCCTTTCCAGCATATTTTCCAATTAATATGGTGCCAAATAATATCTTCAGTAATTTTTATTCACAAACGTTTTCAGAATATTTTCTTAGAAAAGCTCAACTGCTCAGAAGTCATTTAGATATGTTGTTGTCGCAAAATAACGTAAGCTTGAGTTAGTAATTCTTTTTAGGTCTGGTTTTCATTATATACCTCTTGTTTCAGGACTGACTGGGGACCTAGAAGAAGTGATCAAGAAAGACAGCTTTATAGTATCATTAAAAGACATAAAACCGAGGAAACGATCCAGAGAAACCTTATTCGCGGTAGATTTTCCAGGAGCGGAGCATAAGTTTATGTTGTTGATAGAAAGAAAAACTAGTCAAGGTAAGACGCTTGTAATACTTATATTCCTGTATTATATTCACGATGTATATATGCAGAGATTTTAGTTGAACCTCTTGAGCTTCGTTTATTCAGTGCTCAATCATAAGCCAAGAAATTTCAGTACCAATCATGGAATGACAGACAGCATTCAATTCATTCAATAGTAAAAAAGAAACTGATACAATGATCTTTTCACCTCCATTTTTGGATTCACTCGCTTTTTTGTATGACTGATCGTACAATATGTCTGCCGATTTCGTCGATATGGACGAGAAGTAGAACACATGTAATTTTACTTAACAAGCCATTGAGCTTGATTTCGAAGTAGTTTACAAGAACATTTCGATCGTATATTTGTTCCACTTACAAGCACAAAAAGGATTTGATCGACGTGGTACTTCAACAGCCACAAAATTTCTAGTTGCTTTTATTCAGATTTCCTTATGACTACTTGATGTGTTTCAAACACCATCAAAATACTAAAAGTAAATACTGAGATACCGTACCATGTAACTTGATTAATTATTTAATTCTTGTTTAATTCCACAACTCTTTATTACTGCTAAGTGCACAGTGCAGTGCAGAAGTCAAAAAACAATGATGACGTTTATCAGCAATAACATTGAAAAAATACAACAGTAAACATGAAAAAATATAGGTACTCAAGATTAATAAACACCTTTACAATCACAAAAATTTGAAAATGCACAAAAATGAAATGAAAAATTCTACTGGAATTCTGAAAAGTCGCTGTCGAAGGACTCATCAAAGTTGAACAAATACTTCTGATTTTAAGGCTGAAGTTGCGGCTCCATATCCATGGGCATATGGCCAGCTTAAAATCATGTGACTAGAGTATATTCTAACATTATTTGCGTGATAATAGAGCGCGCTCATATTGTCCGGCGGACCATAAATGCCTCGGCAGGCAGTGACAAGCGAGTAGAAGAGGCGAAAGATTGCTCATGTTTACTTTAACGCAGCTTAAATATTGTTTAGGTAATAATCTGTGGTTTCAGTGATCGTGGAGACATTTGAAGACGGCAGAAAAACGTGTACAACACTTCACGGTTGACACGCTTCATGATGATAGCCACATCAAGTCACTGATTCTGGCAGTAAACCAAACACACCCAGGTGCCCATGCCACGCTCTACATAGACTGCATTTCTTACGGCATGGTTGCCCTACCTAAAACCCTCAGGGACATGTTCAGCAGTATGAGGGATCCTAATCTAGAAGTGGTAGGTTAAGTTTTTAAATAGTAGGTGCATCAATTCATACCTTTTATTTCATCATCGTTTTATCGGTTTTATGAGACACAGAAAGTAGTATTTCCAGGAAATGTATTGCAAAAACAAAAATATCTAATCTATGTTACGGTTTCAGGTAATGGATCAAGGTCTATACGCAGTGTTTCCAACTCTGAAAATAATGCACATTTAAAGTTCACGTATCTATGAGGTTTTTATTTTAAATATTTTAGTTCTTCCGTATTTTGAATTTTCATCAACGATTTTCAGTTTATGTTGGTACTTGATTGTCCCTTAAAAGCTCAATCTTCGCAATTTTCAAGTATATACTAAAACACATTGGAACCCTAGACCTATATAAAAATTAGTGTTGCTCTACTGCTCACTTGCAACAAAAATCAATATTGCCACAAATCAATACACAATTATAATGAGACTTCAACTTTTATTCTTAATGTCAGCTCAGTGGGACAAATATTTCATTTTTAGATGTGTTGTGTGTCTCGTATGTTATATTATAGATTTGAACTAAAAAATGTCGCGAATTCCATTCAAGTACGTGAAGTAACGTCAACTGATTACTGTATGCTAACTACTATTAGTATAAATACCTGTGAATCCTGAGAAAAAGATAAAGGCTTTTAACAACGAAGGTGCCCAGCTGGAGGAAAGAAAATAAGGTGCTCGTGAACTTGTTGGTGATAGTGTTTGGTGCTGTAATAGAATCTTCAACCATCTTGGCCGATATTTTTGACATTTTTGGAATTTGTGTCAAGAAAGTGACAAATCACACAAGAAGAGTCTATAGTGTATCGACGTAGTACCAGAAAATAGCCAAGTACAGAAGTGTAAGATGAGCCAAGGTACACGAAATAAAAGCAAGAAGAACTCGGAAGAAGGAGAACATATTGATAAAAGTGTTAATACCAACGAAAAGTTAATCAATGATATCATAAAAGTCAACGAACAGCTTATCATATCAAAAGATGAAGTAATTAAAGCAAAAGATATTATAATTAAAGAATTATATGAAAAAATTGACTTACTCTACGAGAAAATTGAAATGATAAGCACAAAGTGTGGCGAAACAATTCAAACGGTTAAATCAGTAGAACAAGTTGATACTAATATTACAACTAACAAAGCAAACAAAGTGAGACCACAGTACAGTTCAGTGGTGAGAAACGAAAACTCAAACAGCGTTATTATCAAACCTAAAAAGATACAGCAAGTATTATAAACGAAAAATGACATTTTGAAATTTTAAAGCCCGCCGAGTTAAATGTGAAGGTAACCGGAGTTAAGCAAGCTGATAATGGTACCCTGAAAATCTCATGTGCAGATAAAAATGGAGTCCAAAAGATAAACGATGTAGTCAACAAGGAACTGGGCAGTTCATACAGTGCAAGAGTTGTAAGTAATCGCCAAAATCCTAAATTGAAGGTTGTGGGGATTCAACAAATGATTGATATGAAAACCTTATTGAGGTGATAAAACAAAAAAATATTTTTGTAGAAAAAGGTACTTATTTAAAAGTTCTTAAATTTAAGCATATGAGGACAAGGTTCTTTGCTATCATAGAATGTGACCCAAAGACATTTTACAATATTCTAGAAAATGGTATATTGTGCATTAATTTAACAATATGTTCTGTTTATGAGCACATCAATGTATTGAGGTGCTGTAATTGCAGTGTCTACAACCATACGGCCAAGAAATGTAACAGTGACATGTTCTGTATGAAATGCGGAGAGAAGGGTCATAAAGCTGATACAGGTTTAAACTCTAAAGTGACTTGCCCGAATTGTCTGGAATTTAACAAAAAATTTAAGTTGAGCCTTAGTATTCACTCTGCTTTCGATAAAATTAATTGTTCAGTCATGAGGAAGAAGATTGAAACAGCCAGGAACAACATCAACTATTCTATATAGCAATCAAGACGCAATTTAAAAGTTACGCCAAATAATACCATTCCACTTAACTGCGGAGGCTTTACAAAACAGAACAATAGATTAAATGTATCCCATGTTAATGTTAGGTCACTAATCTCAAGCTTCGATATGTTAGCAGACACCATACTAGAACAAGATTTCCACATCATAGCGTTAAGTGAGACTTGGCTTTCTTCAGACTTCCCCTCTGATTTGATTTCTCTGCCTAACTACCAGCTTATAAGAAACGATAGAGAAGGAAGAGGTGGTGGTGTATGTTTTTACATCCAGTCTAGCATAAAGTACAGAGTTATAGATCTTCGGAATATTCCTTCAAATGGCATTGAACATCTTTGGTTGTCACTAAAATTCGAGAGCATGAGTATTGCAGTAGGTGTTATCTACCGACCACCGTCCAGTCGACTGAACATTCTATCTGATTTGGAAAATATCCTTGCCTTTATATACGTCACACATGATGAAGCAATACTATTGGCCGATATCAACATCGACCTCACCGATGAGCATGCTGGTCAAAGCAAACAATTTTTACAAATGATGTCTCTATTCAACATGAACCGCGTAATTAATGAACCAACAAGAATAACAGCAAATACAGCAACAATGATCGATATCATTTTTACAACAAATACACTCACTGTTTACGAGTGTGGAACTCTGGACATGCCAGAAGTCACTGATCACAGATTGTGCTTCTGTAAGTTGGAAATTGAAACTCCGGAATACACACCTGCAATATTTTACTACAGAGATTTCTCGCATTTCGATCACGTTGAGTTTGCCAACGATGCTGCTTCTGTGGAATGGAGCTACATAGATGGTTTGCCAAGTCTTGATCACAAAGTTCTTCACATTACTGAAACTATTATTATGCTCTACAATATACATGCCCCATTGAAAGAATTACTTCACGTAAGAACTACAGACCTTATGTGACACATACAATCAAGTGTATAATAAATACATTTGAAGCGGAAAGCATACAACAAGTTCAGAAGAACCAGAAATGAAGAACATCGTGCATATTATAATGATCCAAGAAATTATTTAGGAATAGCTTTGAAGAATGAAAAAACTGCTTACATAAAATTCCAGCTTAAAGAGTATTATAATAATCCTAAACAGATGTGGAATAGTTTCTCCAGGTGGAATATACACACAAAATCCAGTAAACACATATCACACGACATTGAAAACGCTGAAAGCATCAATAATCACTTTATTAACTATGTACCAAACCTGTAGCCAGATGACTTATTTCTTAACACATTCTCATATCAAAAAAATTCTATAGTATGCAAGTCTTCATTTGATCATGTTACATCAGACCAAGTTGAACTAAAACTGAAAGAAGTCAAGTCAAATGCTGCGGGTGTTGATGGTATCACTACAACATGTTGAGAAACGTGTTCTCTTTTTGTAAATATCAGCTAACCAGTATCATCAACCAATCACTGAGTACAGGGGAAGTGCCATCATTATGGAAAAAAGCAGTCACAACACCACTTGCAAAAGTTAATAATGCCATCGATTTTAAGGACCTCAGACCAATAAGTTGCTTTACCTTCAATGTCCAAACTGTTAGAGAAAATTGTAGATGATGCACTTCGTGAGCATCTAGAAATCAACAAAGTGTTTCCTGACACCCAGTCTGGGTTTAGAAAATTACATAATACATCTACAGCGCTCATTAAAATTTCCAGTGATATAGTGAAATTTATAGACGATGGCATGATAACGCTACCAGTCATGCTAGACTTCAGCAAGGCATTTGACATGGTAAATCACAGAGTTTTGTGTGGAAAACTGCACCATTATGGTTTGACCGGACACGCCATGCTGTGGTTTAGTAATTACTTGTTTGATAGATCTCAATGTGTAAAATTGCGTGGTAAAGTGTCTACTTTACGACCTTTGAAGTCTGGTGTTCCACAAGGCAGCGTTTTAGGCCCTATTTTATTTACTTTTTATACCTCAGATCTGATAAAACATATATCATCTGACTGGAATGTACATTGGGTATGCGGATTATGTACAAGTTTACAAACCATGTCAACCAACCGATGTAAATTCTTTAATATTAGAACTCAATAAAAATTTAGACATAATTGAACAGTACTCAAAAAATCATTATTTGAAGCTCAATCCCTTGAAAACCAAAGTATGTTGTGTTGGTTCTAGACTAGCGATTCTGAAGTGTAAACAAGTAATAAATACGAACAGATTTTTAGAAGGAATTAACATTGAATTTGTTGAAGAATCAAAAAATTTGGGAATAGTACTTGATAAGAATTTAAGTTTTGAAAGTCACATTATAAATAAGCTCAGAATATGTTATTATAAATACAAATCGCTTTGGAGATATAAGTATATATTAACAAGTGATATCAAACTAAAACTTGTTAATGCATTAATCCTCACACATTTAGATTATTGTAGTACTGTATATTACCCTTTTATCACTGAGGAAATGCAACAGAAAATTCAAGTTTTACAAAACCATTGTATGAGGTTTTGTTTCAATGAGATAAACAGACGCGAACACATTACTGGGTATTATGTAAGGGAAAATCTTTTAAAGTTCAAATATCGCTCGTTACTTCTCTATGCTGTTCTACTATTTAGGGTTTTAAAATATAAATCTCCGAAATATCTTTTTGACACGTTAGAGAAAAGATCTTCACTCCATCAACTGTTCCTCCGTAATGAATATTGTTATAATATACCAGCCCACACTACCTCAAAATTTAAAAATGTTTCTATTACATAGCTCCCAGTATACTAAATGATTACCCAAGTTTCTTTAAATTAACGTCCATTCACAGCTTCAAAAGAGAATTCAAAAGAATGCTATTACAGTTACAATTTAATGAATCTACAAGTGGCTGAATAAATCTCATTATTAATCTTATTATATTTTAAAGGTTTGTTAGCATTATTATAGTCAACTACATATCCTTTATGTAATGTATAGGATATACCCTAGTAAGATATAGGAATGCACTTAATGAATTTACCTTAGCTATTCAGGCGGGGGTGAAAAATGGCTATGCCAATCCCCAGCCCTTTGGAGTATTATTTTTTTTTTGTGTTATATTATTTGCTCATATTTTGATTCTATTATGTATTAATACTTCAATATTATTATTATTATTATTATTATTATATAGGAATACTAACCTAAATATTCGAAAATGGATGAATTTTGAACAAAAATACAACAGTTGCTAACAAATACATATGCTCTAAACGTTTGAAGGCAAAAGACTCGCCCAACTGGGCATCTGAATTATTTTCACGGCTGAAAACTCCGCTTAAAGACCCTGATCCTCTAAAAATTCTTCGTTTAGCCTCATAATTATTATGTGTCCAACATATCTTAGCTTAGTCATACGGTTCGTGCTTAAAGAATGGGACACCTCAATAGGTGCAGATTTCGTAACAGTAATCGAGGTCATTCCCATGGAAATGTGTACAGCAAAATAAGGAAATACGAGAATGCATTGTGCCGCATTGACCGAGAGCAGAACAAAAATAAACCGAACAAGTATACATGGCTAACTGATTGGTCAGAAGCAGAGCCGTGTACAACTCGCAAATCTCTGGAAATACTAGATCTTGTTCCATATTGTTAAAATATGGTAATTTCATTTTTTTCGACCGTTAATAAGCTCTTCGACATTTTAGCAGCTGTTGACCTGTTATGTCGTGTCAATATTGGGAATTTTAAGTATCCATTAAAATGGATATCAATAAACTGAAATAGTTTTGGTTGATCTATTATATGATTTACGGGTCTTCTTAATACCAAAATTTAACTACATCCTTGATCAAATGTTGACCCCTTAATCCAAACAACTCCATTTCTTAATACTATCACAATATACAGTTTTTCAGTTTCTATAACAGCGAATTTCATATCCATTCTGAAAAGTGATAATGACCGAAGTGGCCAATTGGAAAAAATATAGTGTTTCCAAAAAATTGGAAATACAATATTTTATCATAGACGAATGGATTGCCATGTGGTGCCTGATTGTCAAGCTCATTATAGGTACTTTATAACTTAGAAGATTAAACCACTGCTTTCCAAGATGGTTGTCTGACAGGCTGCTAAGTTTGCGCCTTTTTGTACATTGAGTCCACTACCAATATATATGTCCTATCAATTTTCTTCTCTTGGAAGGATATATTGCTAAGATACAGTATATTCTATTCGAAATATCTGATTTATTTGCATTTTAAAACTAATTTATACTGCCCCAAAATGACTTCCCATGAGACGATTTTTCAACTTCGCGAAGAAAAAAGTCACTAGGACTCAAGTCAGGCTTAAGGAGACTGAGGATCCACAGGAACATGTTTACTGCCCAAAAACTCATTATTGACATTCTGTGTGACAAGAAGCATGTTCCCCTGTCTCTGTTAAAAGCCTGGCGCTTCCAGTACTGCCAGATCGCACGCTACACTGTCAGTCTCATTACTTAATTTACAGACCTCGTAGTATACTATAGCGTTGGTTAGTGATTTAATTTATACAAACGCTCAAACTTAACAGCCCGCCAGTCCACCACTTTGATAGATAGTAAGTGTTTATTTAGAGTTATACAATTTTATCAGGAACTTCAAGTGAGGTATCACGTAACCCCCTATACTATTTAAAAAAAAACTCCAAGATGACGCCCAGACACCATATTGAAATTTGGACTGTCACTATTACATTAAAATGCATTATTCATGAATCAAGTAAATCATTCAACGTTTTGGAAGTTCTGTATATCTTTAAGTACCAAATTTTTCATATATTCAAGCAGCTTATCTTTAGATACCGTGCATATCGTTGAGGGAATGGGAACCGAAGAGAACATAACATAGTTTAAGGGCCGTATCGTCAGTCGTTTCCTACATTTGTAGCCTTTATGGCTTCCTTGATTTTCATAGTTTTCTACTGTTCCGTGTCAGCGCTCTATTTTGAGGTTATGTCACAAATATCTATTTGCATCAAATTGCTCATGCTTTTGATTTACATCATATGTTTTATCAGACTCAAATTCCTACAATTCAAAAGAAAAACATAAAACAAAGTATATAATATTTCTAAAAGAAATATATCATTCGATCAATAACCTTTCAGCTTCCCAATGAATCCGCTACTGTGTTGTGTCGTACTATGTTCGTGTAATTCATGTACAATTATGGCAAAGACAAGTTGCTTCACTTTCGAGAATGTAAACGCGTTGAATGTAGTACTATAAATCAGGATACCTGTACTGCGTACAAGTAACGGTATGGAACATATACAGGGTGCACACATAATCACGTCATCAGATACTTGGAGCTAGCACCATACCGGTAACGGCAGGGAAAAGCATCGAAAATTATTTCCGTACGAGCAGCACAAGCTGCTGACAAAAATCTCTCGCGACCTTACTTCACTACCTTGCATCACCAGAGAGATGCGTTGGTATAATGAAGCCTCCCACCGCATGCTCTCTGATATACTGGGAAGGGTTTCTTCTCCTCTGGTATCGAAGAGCATGCTAAGCGATCTCGAGGTAAGAGACTGTTGAAAGAAATCCTAGTCAGACGAACGATGCCTCGACATACCGACACCTCCTACTACTCTTTAATATACCAGAAAGAATGTTTCCGACATCGGAAAGCATGCTGTGGGATCCCACGGTAAAAGGCTGTTAAAAAAATTAACCTCACATCAGTATCTTATATCTTGTTGAGCAAGAGATGCATCGGCATGCCAGTTCTTCACATCGCACGGTTTTTGATATATCAGGAAGAATTTCATCTTTCGGCATCGGAAATCAAGCTTTCGGATACCGCGGTATGAATCGTCAGTATTTCGCGGCATTATCCAGTTGGCGGGATGCCGACTGATGTTCGCAGATTCTTTATCATCAGTGTGCGGTACTGGGGTGTTAATTTTCATAATGAAGGAAACAACTGAGAGAAATCGAGCATGGTTCTATATACTTCAGGGAACTGAAATTGATAATACTGATAGGAGAGTCACTCCTCGAGTCATTCTCACAGTGCGGGAGTCGTTTATCAGTTTTAACTCTAGAGACGGAGTTAACTAGGCAATGAAACGTTAAATCATATGATGGAAAAACCACGGAACTTATGTCAAAAATAGTTGCATTGACAAACTTGTTTGAAAAATATCAACAAACTGTCAAAATTTCGGGAAAAAATCACGCCCACTTCCTTGGTGGCGGTTCTTTCTCCTCGTCCAGACGCATAGGTGTCCTGGAGAAAAACTCTTTTCGGTGATTTACCCTACCATTCCTCGATAGCCGCTATCGTATTGCAGATATAATGCCGATTCTCAGAGCTATTCCACCAAATCACCACCTTAACTTAAAAAGAAACAATAACCAAACGTTTGCAAACTTACAGTTCCACGAGAAGAAGTACCCAGTAGAGATCAACGGTCATCGAGATGTAAGAATAGTACTCAGCAAGAACGGCTGTCCGTTACCTCTATACTCAGATGTAGACAGGAAATATGACCACATGTACAAGGAAGATCTAGTCAGAAGCAATGATTTAATGGGTCATGATCCAAACATTCAAGCCCAACAACCTGACATGCCATACAGGGGAGACATTCCGCTAGTTCATAGGATAGATGATGGTGAGTTGATCAAAATAAAAAAATATTATGATACTTTATACTTCATTTATTATAGCTCATTAGTTCTAGAATGATTTTATTTCTTGTAAATCTGCTTATCAAGTCTTCCGCCCACTTTGGTTGATCGTAAGGTACAATATGACCAGCGTCACTTACCAAGACTTCAGTAAAGTTGCCAGCGCTTTTGCTATACCCGGCAGGTTGATTTCCAATATACCAGATTTTCCTTTTAGCCTTACGATACTCCTTAGCATCTTTAAACTCAGGTTTTTCAGCATGTTCAACGTCAGTGGATATGCCACTATGATGTCCAACTGGCCAGAGTACAGAAGCAGTCGATAGTTATTAGCCACCTCTACGAGCCAAGACGCCACGGATCTTTGCAGATCGTCTGCCAAAAATGCCTCAACCTGTCATATAATGAATTGAACATTAGTATTCAGATTCATACTCACAGGGTGTTAACTTAGTACGTACCCTAAATTTAACAAACGATTCTTTGAGTAATTTTTAAGACAAAAGTTTATATAAATAAATGAAAAAATTCTTTTTCGTAAATTTCTAAATACCCCATATTCCTTGAGTGGTGCAGGGGATGCAATTAAGGGGACTCTTTCTCTCAAAAACTAAGCAAGCTACGAAAAAAGAGACAAAAAAGCTGTATTTCCATTGCTGAATTCAAAGAACATAATAAAGGTTGCACAAAAAGTCAGTGGCGTACATGTTTGTCACAAATATTCGTTCAGATCCGGCTCAAGACGCACTGGATTTAATAAATTTAATCAAATTATGACTGATTAGCTCCTAAATGTTATAAATATCACCGCCAAATTGCAACAAAATTAGGTAAAAGATATTTAAGAAATTCACGAAAAACCTTTTTTTTTGTTAAATTTTAACACCCTGTATCTTGAGAACAAAGGATTGATTTGACATAAATGAATGATTTGAGGATCTATGTTTATGTGAGCTATGTATCTTAAAATAACTCAAAGAATCGTCTGTTAAATTTATGGTAATACTTTATTAACAACCTGTATACCGTAAAAGTGCAAATCTGGACATACACACTAGAGGAAACCTGACTGGGTTCTTGAACAGTTGAACTACCTGAGTATACAGGGTGTCCAAGATAAGGATCCAGGCATGAGGATGTCAATACCTGTGGGAGATATAGCTTAGGTAAGTTATGAAAAAGGTGCGTTCTTTGTAAAATTTGGAAAAAAACTGAAATTTGACTAAATCGTTTTTAACATTTTACGGAATATCAATAAACTAATGGAACTTTTTCATGGAAAAAAGTTTCTTAACTTTTTTGATATTCCTCAAAATAACGTCAGAAAAAAAAATAAAAATGATTCCACCAAATATAAGTGAGACATGAAATTGTTACAGGTCTTTCAACGTCATCTAAATAAGCCTCAAAGAAATGTTTCCTAATTTAACCTAAGCTGTACCCCCTACAGGTGTTATTGAGATCCCCATACATAAGATCCCTATCTTGGATATAGCACAACGGTGCAGTTTCCTCACATGTACAGATGTTTTTGATATTCTTCTTTCACCTGCTAAAGGTGTCAACTTGTCAACTGGCTTTGCTCCAGAAAACAGAAAGGAGTCTGGCTGAGGCTTACATGTGTTTCCCGATGCATCTTTGTCTTCTCCTCAGCACTTAGCTCAAGTTATCTGGCCGGTGTGACTATATAGACCAACTATCAGGTATTACCCTAACGTGCGTTTGTGACTCGATAGTGAGGATAGAAAGGTGGGCCCAAGCTCTATCGTCTTCCCAGATAAATGTTTCAAGATACTTCACAACAAAACACTGCCTACCTTTTCTGAACAGAACGTAGTTTCCCCTACGTGTAGACTTCGCCTCACTTCACTCTGGTTGAGAAAACTTGTTCATCTGATCTTCACCTGGAACTCCTCCTCTTTAAGATAATTGTAAAGCTCACATTCGCCTGTTGTTTCTATGACAACAAGTGCTTTTACCTTCAGATCTGATGATAGGATGTATCCCCTTTGCGTATGGCTCAACAGCTGCAAAAATCTGGTACAGTTTAGTGCTTCTAAACAGTAACAGACCAAATCAAACCCTCCTTTGATGTACACACCGATTCGAATACCTCCAAATCTGTAACCACATGTGCCTTCGCTTACGTTGGAATCTCGGTCTGTACGCGGCCTAAGGCGGAGCCAGAATTTGTGTTCCATGGACACGTGTTCCCTCGGTAGAGTCCGTGTGGCGTCCCCGCCATTTCCCCCGTATCCCCCTATAGCCCCACGGTACCTAACGAGTGTTTAGATCTTAGGCCTTCGTGGTGGTTCAAGTATAAAAAAAAACAAATCCCCCCATTCAAGCGACTCCGTGTCTCTACCGTTTCCGAGATCCCAATAGTCAGGGTCGAATTTAAAACACCCGGTAATAACAAATCAATACACTTACCTGCATTTTCGTACCTCTTTATTTCGTCTGCATGTTTTTCATCAACAAGACCAAGCTGAGAGGTATTCCGCATAGCCAGTCTGATGTTCAGGATCTATATACCCATCACCAATCGCAACCCCTTTCAAATTAATTTTCCGGGCGGAGGGTTACCTTTGTGGATAGTATGAGCCAGTGCTAGAGCGTACTTTGCTGCAATGATTCTCCATGAATGTAAAACTCATTCTTTCTGAGGTCTGAAAAGAGTTTGAAGAATTGCCGGAGTGTCTCATACAGCTCGTTTCCAATCTGAGTTTCGTTTCGTGCATAACCATCTTCATTCTTGGTGAAGCTAAGCCAGTGCCTACAGGGTTGTCTATGTAGATCACTGAATGGTTGTTGACCCAGGAATATTTCCTCAATGCAAGCTCTTGCTTTTTGTTTATGAAAAATGGGCCAGTTTCTACGAGAACCCCGTACATTGACGAAACACCTGGGCCTCCTTGTAGCCAAACCAATACAGGGTCTTTAGCTGGGTCGCTTTTCGATGGAAAGAACCAAAAAAACTGGTTGGAGT